CCATTTTATAAAATGGCACAATATAAATTTTCCCCATCAGAATAAAAGATGGGAGAATCAGATTACAATCTATTTTGTGAGGAAAACATGTTTGTTTCTCAAAACAGTGTTTTCAATCATTTTACAAGCTAACAATTTTTTAGAGAGCCAGACAAATTTAAATGAAGGAACGATTATTTCTAGATGTTAAGAGAATGAGTACATACAGTAAATTTTGGTTGGTCCTTGAGCAGTTTTTGTAGGAAGTTGTTTACAGAAAACCTAGCTCAGTTTCAAGGTTGTGTTTAACAGTAACGGTAGAAATAGAGGCTAGGACTCTGATTCTCAGTTTAGAGGATAATAGGTGATATTTCTTTCTTTTGGTAGATAATATTAGTAAGTTATTTTTGAAATACCTAATATGACTTCCCTTCGAAATCTTTGGCATTTGTGAGTCTTTAGAGACTAAGGTTTTTAGGTGTTCTATCCCCAACCCTCAATATAAAAATTCATGGGAGCTAGTTTTTAATTAAAAGAAAAAGGTTAATCTTAATTTTAAAGTGACCTGAGTTTTATTCCGCACTGTTACATAAACCAATTAGATGGCTGTGAAGTCCTTTGAAATACACCAGAGGCCATTATATCTCACAGGTTTCACACATGCATCTGCAGTGAGATTTATATGACTAGAATTTACCCCCCACTTTTACAAAGTAAAAATTTAAATGTCTCAGTCTAATTTTTCATAAGGCCAGCTATTCAAAATATCAAACTTATTACAGAGAGATGGTGATTAACTCACATATTGTTTGGTATGAAGTTAGCCCCAAATTCAAGTATTTTTAATATTTATCCCAAGTCTTTGTACTGGCTGAAATGAAAGCTACACAATTTACATAACTCTGATTGGCATTTTCACCTGTGTATATTTTTGGTCACCAACTTCTAATCTCATATGCAATCTTAAGAGATCAGGTAGTTTTATGTAGTCATCATATAGTAGCATAGAACATACCATGTAAAAGTAAAATTATTTTCAAGTTTCTTTGTTTTTATTTTATTTTATTTTAAATATATTTTATTGATTTTTCACAGAGAGGAAGAGAGAGGGATAGAGAGTTAGAAACATCGATGAGAGAGAAACACGGATCAGCTGCCTCCTGCACACCCCCTACTGGAGGTGTGCCCGCAACCAAGGTACATGCCCTTGGCCGGAATCGAACCTGGGACCTTTCAGTCCGCAGGCCGACACTCTATCCACGGAGCCAAACCGGTCACGGCAAGTTTCTTTGTTTTTAAAGTGTTGCATGTGTAGTATTAAATCAACTTTCAGGTTACAGAAATCCATAATGATGACAAGTAATACTTTTATAAAAGATCAGCAAGCAGTTAAACAAGAATAATTTTTTCAAGTATGAAGACATTAAAAGATGAAAAAAACTCATTAGACACATTCTAATCCAAATAATGCTAAAAATAAAATGTTCACTTGTATATTTAAGGAAGGATATAGAGGTCCTAAGAAGGAATGTCAGATTGTCAGAGACAAATATTGGTATATAAACTCAAAATGGTTTTGAATTTTTTGGTAACAAATATTGTCCGACAAAACAGGAACAAAAATAAGGCAACAAGTCTGTCCACTGTTCAGAAGCTATATCATAGAATGTTTTGGGGGAAATTTCATAGCCAATAGTTACTTCATCCATGTTATCATCACTGTCTGCAGAAAATCATCTCCAGTGTCAAAGTATGAATGAATGTAGTCATTTTCCTCTTCTTGCTCTTCTTCATCATATTCCTCTTCTCCGGTATCATCTTCCTCATGATCAGGATCTTTTTTACCTTTCTCCTTTCTTCCTTCTTGCTCTTCACTTTCCTCATTGAATTTTCCACCATCGCCAGTTTTCCAATTTCTCAGTTTTTTTCAGCACATTGTCAGTATTAATGAGTGAGGTGTCTTTGCCTGTATCATTCAGCTTTTTGGATTTGGGACCTGCTTTCTTTGTATTTTTTCCTTGGTATCATCTCTTGAGAGTTCACTCTTTATACACCTTCATATATCTTTTACCATATCTTTCAATATCTTGTTTGTCTTCATATAACATAATGTATATTCCACCAATGGATGGCATTCTCAACTGTACCAGTGAGATTAGCAGTTGCCTCTGTATTCGTGTTTCTATTTACTATTCTTTCATTTCATCTTGAAGAACTTCTTTTCGCATTTGTAATAAGTCAGGTTGAGTGGCGATGAACTTCCTTAGGTTTTGTTTGTCTGAGTAAGTATTTCTTCTTCTTTCTAAAGAACAGGTTTTCTGGCTAACGTATTAATGTTTTTTTATGAAGTATTTTGAATATATCATTTTATTTTCTCCTGGACGGCAAGATTTATTGGGTGAAGTCTACTTAAAACCCTTATTCGGTCGTTTTCCGGTATGCAAGGAGTTTCCCTTGTGCTTTCACAATTCTCTTTGCCTTTGATTTCTGATACTTTGATTATGCTGTGTCTTGGTGAAGTCCAGTTTGCATTGGATCTATACAGGGACCTGTGAGAGTGCATGCACTTGATTATTCACATCTCTTATTTGGGGAGCCAATCTTCAGCTTGTTTTTTAAAATAAACTTTCTACACCTTTTTCTTTTTCCCTCCCTGTTCTTTCTCTCTGTCTCTTCCCATCCCCCAGTATTTCCTAGGATTCCGATAATGCAATATCGGCTCTCTTAAAGGTGTTACTTAATTTACATTGCTGTATTCTTTACATTTATTTTTCTTCTTTTCTATCCACCTGGATTTATTTTAAATGACATGTCTTTGACATCACGTATTCTTTCATGTCTGATTTTGATACTCTTCATTCCATTTTTTCATTTCACTCATTGTAATTTGTCAACTCCAGCATTTGTTTCTTTCTTTTTTTTTTTTTTTTTTTTGATTTCTGTCTATCTGATATTCTTTTGCTTCTGTGTTGGTTTCTTTATTATGTTGGTTCTATTTGTGTTTTCTTGTAGCCCATGGTTGTTTTTAAAAGTAAATATTTTAAATGGATTCCTCATCAAGCTGTACATAGATCTCCATTAGTTTTGTATTGATTAGTGGAAAATTATTATGTTGTCATGGTGGTGTCTTTGTTTTTAGTGTTTGATTCAGACCTGTGTTGCTGCCTCTACATTTGATGAAGCAGTTGCCCTTTTATTCCTTTCAGCCTTAGGGAACAATTCTGGGCGTGAGAAATAGATTTATCTGCATGTGGAATCAAAGGTGTTCACTGGGAGAGGTGTTGTTTTGATCTTGAGAACAGGTTCAACAGCCTTGCCTCCTTGATGTCCTATGAACTGAGGTCATAACAACAATGTGTGAGTCCACAGTGGATTTGGCAGCAATTTTTTTTCCATGACAATTGAGGGTCTTGGAGTCTGTGGTGGAAAATACTGCTTAGGTATACTGATTTTTGTTTCTTTTCTTGAGTAGGTTGCGGCCAAAGATATTTCTTTTATAATTCATGCCAACAAACTGAGTCCTTTGATGTGTTGTGGGGAGTTCACAGATGTTACATGGACTTTTGTGGTTTTTTTTAAAACAAAATTTTCCAGCGATTTGTATAGAAAAGGCCACCAGCGTCAGTGGCTGATAGAGGTAACTCCAACCCTTGTTTTTGACTGTAGCCATCTTCAACTATATTTGCTCAACCAGTTTTCCCAATCATCCTTTCTATGCACTTCTCCCATTTTTTCTCTTCTGCATTGCTGTTTGTCTTTATTGGGTGCTAATTACCATCTGCTATGTTTTCTTTGTTGATGGATAGCTCTCTACTTGTACTGTTGTACTGGGAGGGAGATGAATTCTTCTTGCCATATTCCTGGTGTCACTCACATAGTTTTTTTTGTTTGTTTTTGTTTTTACTGTGGTTACTTTTGTGCTTTGTTATACACAGTGCTGGCCATTCAACTCTTTAGGTTTTCTTTTAGGATTTTTATCATCTATTTCCCGTGTAATGGCTCAACTGGGATTTCAAGGGAAGAATCATTTGTGCATCACAGAAGAAACATGACTCCATCTATGGCAGGGAGGACCCAGTAGCAGTCTTGCCAGGGTGAAGGGCTGTTGGAGAGGAATTGATGCCAGGGTTTTGTTAAGTCCTAACTAGGAACCAATTTTGTTCATCAGTATTTTGTTACCATTGCCAGTTCCCTGCTCCATTCTACTTGTTCTTTCTTATTGTTGACACCTTGCCAACTAACTACTCAGTTTCAATATTTATCATTTCTACTCAGTTTCCCAGCACGTGGATAATCTTCGCTTCTCTAAATGATGCACCTCAACCATTTACCCCACAGGTCTCTCTTTACTACTTTCTAACCTTGGTCCATGCCTGCAGAACCTTGGAGTGTGCATGTGTCCTTATATTGACCTTGAACATCATGTGCTTTAATACTATGGTTTTTTTTTATGGGATTGAGCACATTCAAGTTATTCTACACAAACTCACATCACCAGCATGAAATCTCCCACAGAAGACATTGTGACGAATCAGCTAGTGGCCCAGCCGGTGTAGCTTAATTGTTGAGCGTCGAGCTATGAACCAGGAGGTCACAATTTTATTCCTGGTCAGGGCACATGCCGGGGTTACAAGATCAATCCCCAGTAAGGGGCATGCAGCCGATTGTTGATTTTCTTCCACCATTGATGTTCCCCTCTCTCTTTCTCCCCCTTCCTATCTGAAAGCAATAAAAATATATTATAAAAAAAGAAGGAACAATTAGTGGACCCTGCCTCTCTTCTAGTGCACCTTGTTTCTGTTCTTAGTGTCCTATCATATGCTCCTGTCCCTCCCTTGGTGAGGTCTCCGCCATTGGTTGACCTTTGGGGTCAAGTAATATATAACTGCCTTTCCCTCAGAGTCTCACTTGTCTTGAAAATCATAAAATCATGCCTAATCATGACAGATAAACATTTGCGGTGAAGATATTCTGTTTTCATAAGGTCAACATGTACCTCACCAGCGTTTCCTTTTGTTCAGGTTGCTGCTGTGGAGCAGAGAATGTGGAGGCACCGACTGAGCAGAAGGTTTCTGTAAGAGTGTCACAGGCAAGGAATCCCAAGGTAGCCTTGTCTTCCCAGAAGAGCCACCCCTGTGATGGTTGTGAGCCAGTCTTGAAAAATATTTTCCACATTATTGACCTACAGGGAACACAACGCAGCCAGATACCGTTGAGGTGCGGGGCATGCGCAAAACGATTTTATTTCAGTACAAAATTTCACCAGGACCAGGAGCAACATATGAGAGAGAAGCATTCCGTCAGTGGTGTGGACAGGATCTCACTTGCAGAGGGCAGCAATTTCAATGCCTCGCAGAAGCATTTTACCTGCAGAGAGGTTGGGCCGGACATTCTTATGGGGTCAGGACATCACCAAAAGGCTACTCAGACCGGGGATAAGTCAAATGAAATATCGATGTCTGCCATGACTTTTCAAAGCAGAAAAAATTATTACACCAGGAAAGAATATAAGAGAGCAATTGGCCGCAAGCACACATTTGTTCAAGACAAGAGCGCTTGTACTAGAAGACAGCGTTTAGTGTGCCATGAATGTGGAAAGTATTTTACCAGATTGTCTAGCTTTTTTTATCATCAGAGACTTCACACTGGAGAAAAGCCCTTTAAGTGCAGTGAATGTGGGAAATCTTATACCGGTAGCACTGGTCTCCTTTATCATCAGAGAATTCACACTGGAGAAAGGCCCTATGAGTGCAGTGAATGTGGGAAATCTTTTAGCAGGATCGATTCCCTTCGTATTCATCTGAGAGTTCACAGTGGTGAAAGGCCTTATAAGTGCCATGAATGTGGGAAATCTTTTACCACCAGCACTGGTATTCGTCATCATCAGAGATTTCACACCGGAGAAAAGCCGTATAAGTGCAGTGAATGTGGGAGATCTTTTACCAGTAGCACTAGCCTTTGTTATCATCAGAGACTTCACAGAGGAGAAAGGCCTTATGAGTGCAGTGAATGTGGGAAATCTTTTACCTGTAGTAGCAGCCTCCGTTATCATCAGAGATTTCACACAGGAGAGAGGCCTTATGAGTGCAGCGAATGTGGGAAAACTTTTACCATGATTAGATGCCTTCGTCGTCATCAGATAATTCACACGGGAGAAAGGCCTTACGAGTGCAGCGAATGTGGAAAATCTTTTACCATGATCCATTATCTTCGTCGCCATCGCAGTGTTCACACCGGAGAAAGACCTTATGAGTGCAGCGAATGTGGCAAATCCTTTACCACAATTTATAGCCTTCGTAATCATCGGAGATTTCATACAGGAGAAAAGCCTTACGAGTGCAGTGAATGTGGAGAATCGTTTTCCATGCTCTATTCCCTTCGTAGTCACCAGAGAGTTCACACTAGAGAAAGGCCTTATGAGTGCAGTGAATGTGGGAAATCTTTTATCAGTAGCAGTGGCCTCCGCTATCACCAGAGACTTCACACTGGAGAAAGGCCTTATGAGTGCAGTGAATGTGGGAAATC